GTATATTGAATAAAGAAATGTAGAAGTTTGCACAGGTTAAACTTTCAATGAAATGTCATTTCAAGCAGTTGCTTTTCAACAAGCAGCAGGATGATTATTAAATTTTGTTATTCTAAATTAGCAAAAGTTTTCTTATTGGAGAGGTTTATCAAGATTTTTTTGGTATTACAGTGACAGAAAAATCGAAAAATTTGTAACGCCTAATATTGTACTGTATAAAAGACTAACCTGTTATAAAAACTTTCAACGTCAACGTAAAAAATCGTACCCAAAGGCGCGTACACACCAAATAATTATTGAAAACAGGATTACCAACGTTCGTAAATGTTTATAAACTTGGTGTTCATACCGAGTCCATAAAAGTTTACAAACATTTGTTTCGCGCATGATTTTTGCGCCGCGCTAGGTATATTGTAACAGAGCAAATATACCTCTTATTACAATATGAAATAAAGTTGCCTTCTGCTCCGTATCTTTTGTCATATTGACGCGTTTATTAGACAAAGTGAAACATAAAAAAAAGAAACATAGAATATCTGTACAACTTTTTTAAAACAACAGATTCTTTTTGTCAGATATACAGGGTTGTTCACCACATACGACACGGAGTATTGTAGCTAAACGATTAGATTTTTACAAATTGTAAGTTTTGGGTTCGTTGAAAGACTATTAGAGGGACAATTTAAAAATAGTTTTACAAGATACAGAGTGTCCCAAATAGGTAAAAAATATTATAGTTGTATTTTTTGAAATGGAACACCCTGTATATTATTCTATTTTTAGATTCTACGGTTAAAATAAAGATAAATTTTATTAAGGTTAATCACACTTAAACCTTACCGTTTTTGAAATATTTTCAATTTTGTGAAACTGCAGTAAAAAATTTAAGGCTTCATTTCTCCAAGGGTATTAAAGGTTTTAATACTAAATATTTACTGAAGATTATTTATTGATCAGATATTGTGTTGCAATAATAAAAATTATACTACCTTATACCGAGTGTCCAAAAGTTTATATTAAATAATTACTAGATTTAAATGGCAATAACTTGTTTAATTTAAATGGAACACCCTATATATTTTACGCGAAATAGACGCATCATTTAATTGTCTATCAAATTATATTATACCATTTTTTATCTATCTCTTTAAGTTTTCGTAGAAGATACATTTTCTTATAACTTAGACCCCATATTTTATCACTATACCCATGGAATATTGACATTTTAGATTATTTTAAAGCAACATATGTACAGAACTTACAGGTGGTAAAAATAATAATATTACAAGCTCATTTGTTTACAAAAAGAAAACTATATAAATCTTTGTAAAAGAGTATACCAATTATTACTAATTATTAATATACCACCAATATTTCCGCCCAAAAATTAGTTAATTACATATTTAATTGTTTTAATTAATATATTATTGTAAATAACTGTGGTTTTGACTCAGAAATTAATACAATAATAAGTTATGAAAACTCTGTTGTTATAAATAAGCATTTGTCAAAAAATGAAATAAAATTTATAAGGTGTTACTTTTTACCATACTGTCTAATACACATACAAAATTCCGTTTTTTAGTATTTGGAGCAATTATTATTATTAATCAAAGTAAACGGTCAATTAATGTAGTTAGAATACTGGGATCATTAATTGGTCCTCTTTAACCAAAAATATTTAAACAATTTTTTTATATTTTTTTATACCCTTAATGAAATAAGCGAACTATATCGACAATAGTATCTGTACTTTTTGAAAATTTATTTCATCTTTAAAAATAATCTAAAATGTCAATACTCCATGGGTATAGTGATAAATGAGATCTAAATTATAAGAAAATGCATTTTCTACGAAAACTTGAAGAGATAGGTAAAAATGGTATAATACAATTTGAAGACAATTAAATTGTGCGTCTGATTCACATAAAATATATGGGGTGTTCTATTTAAATTAAACAAGTTATTGCCGTTTAAAGCTAGTAATTATTTAATATAAATTTTTGGACACGCTGTATAAGGTAGAATAATTTTTATTATTGCAACACAATACCTGATCAATAAATAATATAATCGTCAGTAAATATTTAGTATTAAAGCCTTTAATACCCTTGGAGAAATGAAAGCTTAAAAGATGCAATATATAATCTTTTTTACTTATTTGGGACACTCTGTATCTTGTAAAATTATTCTTAAATTGTATCTCTAATAGTTCTTCAACGAACTCAAAACTTACAATTTGTAAAAATCTAATCGTTTAGATACAATACTCCGTCTCGTATGTGGTGAACAACCCTGTATAAACAGACATCTGTAAATTATTTAAAGAAAATATTTAAGAATTTTTTTTATAATTTGGAATAAAATGTTCCTCCCATACTGATTTTGAATTATATTTACAATAACTTGTCGTAAAACAATCTAGATAACAGAACTCTCATACAACACACAAGCAATATATTTAGGACGTTGGATAAAACTCTGTAATTTACAGCCCATCTCAACAAACTTGCTGCCTAAAGCTTGATTTTCATGCATCCGTTATACGTTGATACGTTGGTCCGACGGTGCTCTGATTGGTCATAGCGTTTTCGCGCCACTTTTCATCCGTAAATATTTTACTTCAGCCCGTCAACGAACCCGGACGTTCATACGATAACGCACGTTTTGACACTTTTTTGACAAATTTAATCCAATTTTAATAAAATATCAGTAAAATAGCAAAATCGTTATGGAAACGAAAATATAAAATGACACCAACGTATATCCGATAAACGGAGGTATGAAAATGGAATAAATTTAAAAACTGCGTTATTTTCTAACCAATCAAAGTCTTTAAATTCTACCAATAAAATTAATATCGTATCAACGTATCGTCGGACAACGGATGCATGAAAGTCAAGCTTAAATACGCACACGAAAAAAACACTATACGGCATCATCTGAGTATTATCTGCAACCACTACAAGTAAAATAAATCTCTAAAGCAGGTTTAAATGTCAACAAACTCCACTCGAGAAAACCACCACTCTCGTCCAAGACATCTAAAAATATTGACGAAAATGCCTATCCTTAAAAAACCATACCGGTATGTAATTGTGGAGCTCTTCGACACATCAAAGGAAAATGCGTTTTTACAGTATCAGAGATATTTTGAAGATTTTCTGAAGGTAACACCAAGTGCAATTGAGTATACTCAGGGCTGGCAAAGGTTAGTCTTGGGTCGAGATTTCCGTATGTAAAAATAGTACAATACGTTTATAATGCACTGAACGAAGGGAGAACGAAGGGAGAACGAAGTAAAGACGTTGCCAAACGTTTGAAATAAACCGAGAATCTGTGCACATTGCTAAGAGACGTGGAAGGGGATATAGCAGATTTGTCGTGGTCGACCGGTCGATCCAATCAGTACCTCAGTGCTCAAAATTCTAGAGAAGGCTTTATATTATGCGTTCAGCTTTACGATTTAATTACATCTCGTGATTCTTTATTTGTTTATTTATTAACGAGTCGTTGTAATTTTCCCTATAACTTATAAATTTTTAAATGAAAGTTAGAAACATTGACTCAGATATTTTTTTACTCTGTAGTTTTAAACAGGTACGGACGAAAATTTATTAGTCTTCAAACGAGTTAAAAAATATGTAAGTGGCGCCCTCTACAAGTAGGAGTCATATTGACATTAAAATCAAATTTCTCATGTCAAAAAACTCCCAGACACCAATTTTCATCCAGATATTGAAGTTACTTCAGAAGTTATTTAGAAAAAATCGAAATAAAAATAAAAATTCTACACCCTGTATCTCCGAAACTAAGCATTTTAGGACATACATTTATACGAACTTTTTTACTTATTTTTATCTACAGAATGTGCTGAAGTTTCCGGAATACAGTTCGGACCACCCTGTATATGGCGCTCCAAAAAAAATGATCCTATAGACAGGTATAGATATTTAAGTTTTGTTAAAAATACTCGGAACAATAAAATGGTACAACTTTCTTGTCTTCCTCCAACATGCTGCAACTGCTTCTGCCTGTCAACACTTATACCGTGTATACTATCAAGTTCAATTGTGACTAGGTAATCAACTGAACCCAGAAGACTGGGGTTGGAAATTTATTGATAATACTTTGGAGCTGATTAAAACTTTACTTCCACCTGCTCCAGAAAAACTACTTAACACAATTTTTTGCAATTGCAAAAAGGGTTGTAGCGAAAACTGTGGTTGTAAAAGAGTTTCTAACTGCCAAGGTCAGTCTTGCTCCAATATTAACTTAAATACAGATGAGGATTTTGATGAGGAGACAATTGATGCATCTGTCACAGATGGATTTCCAGATATTCCGCAAGAAGATGAGAAAGAAGTAAGCGAAGAAGACATCTGTTGAAGTATCATTTGAAGATTACCACTCAGATTAAAATTATCCCAAATCAACAATAATCCAGTCGACTATAATCATTACCAAGAGCACCGTTTTTTAAAATTAATAGTATAATGTGTAATAAAACTTAACCACAATAGATCGTGGATTATGCCCTACAGGGGAAACCACATTAAAAAAACGCGCCAAGTACACTTACTACCTCACAGGTGGTGCGGAAATATGTGCATATTATGAAAAATACGAGTTTTTCAACTTTTGAAATCGCCATATCTCAGGAATAGTGGTTCGTAAGAAAAAAGTATAAGAACCATTATTGTAGAAAATTTAATGAAGAAATTAAAAATTTTTGTGTCATTTGTATACGGTACTTTTGCGATAGCGCTTACCGTTTACGAGTAAAAAGCAAAAAAAAACACATTTTTGACTTTTGACCTTGAATATTTTTTTTAGCAGACGTGGGAGGGGTGGGGATTTTTCAGATATCATTTATAACAGTGTATTTAAGACCTGTACCAATTTTCAGCTCTATGCGAATTATTGTTATTTAACCCCCTTTTGTTGTTTATTTTGACTGGAGTATAAAGCCTAACGCTAAATAGATAACAAAAACTTACCATTTTTCAATTTGCAGTTGGAAACCAAATCGTTCATCAGCTCCTTGTTTTTCTGAAAACAACAAAAACAATAACTCATCAACCAGTTCGTCATAGCGCGTCGTTAGCTGTTCGATTTTCAAACGAGTCGACAAAATCGAACTCAATAAGGCAAATTTTCGTTAGCTCTATATTGTCGCTACTTTTTTATACGTTTTTTGCGTCTATCAAAAGTCAAAAAGAGGCAAAAAGCGGAACAAATGCTGGACCTATGGTACAGAAAAATGTTTATTTACTTTGCCATCGATGTGTTTTTTAGCCGAAATTGCGATAGGGTTAAAGCGCAGTGGCGAAAAAAACCTGCTGGCGTCTGTCGGCCAATCGATGACAATTTCGTGTTGTAAGTGAATTATAAATAGTCAAGCCGGTGTTCGCTGTCGAGATTATGGTGCGTTCAACTCGCGTCGGCGAACTTTTTAGTGACACTATTTTTGTTGTTTTTCACCTTGACATTTATCTTTGTGTTTCGCAGGTGCAAAAAGTACGCATATATTTTTTACAAATATAATCGTAGTGAATAATACCATTTATGGTAGGTTTTATTTACTGGAAACAATTGGGTATTTTGTCACTGAGAAACAAAGACTAAAACATTGAAAGAAAGACTTACTATGTCCTGAATATAGAAGCACAGATTTTACAGATTATAAACTTTGTTTTTTCTTTATTGTTTTTCGTGGTTCCAATTTTCGGAATCGGGTACTAGTTAGGTTACTAGTTTGCGCACATAGCACGCCCACTTATGGCCTCTAAAATTGTGCACAGCGCCTGACAGGCACAGTTTTTAGAGAGATATCGGAAAACCGAATAGCGTCATGCAGTATTTACGCGTACCTTATCATGGTTACGATATGCGCGAGTCAATTTTTAATGCAACACCCGCTAATAAAGTTACCGCCTGACGTAATTTGCGGCTCAATTACACCAAGCGCTATTTCTAAATAACGTTTAATAAAAAAATCATTAAATGGGCATGTGCGGGTATTTGACAACCGGGGTCGGCCGGAGGGATCTTTTATTTTAGGTTATGTTTGAATTGTTTTGAATTATTACTTTAGTTTTATTAGGTAATTTGATATTTAAGTAGCTGGGATTAGTTTTAATTAAATAAATATGGCCCAAAATATGGATCCCACCTCTTCCAATATTAAAGAGGCTTAGGTTTACAGCAGATGACGACTTAGCCCTTCTAAGAGAATTTGTTGCTTGTTGCCCTAAACCCACTGGCAGACGTTGAACAATAAAGCACTGGAAATAGGCACTTTAGCCCTTTAGTTTTAAAATACCTAGTAAACAAAACAATTTCAAAGTTTTAAATTCAAAGTTAGGTTAAGTTTATATAGGGGACGCGACGCGAACAGAATTCTTTCCGATCCGATAACTATAAATGAAGAGAGTTAATACCTCCTCACGTAAAGGAAATAACACCTGGCCTTATTAACGTCGATGCACGCTATTCGGTTTAGCGATATATCTCTATTACGCTGTTTATTGTTATTTACGCGAGTTTATTTTTGCGCACAGGAAATTTTACTCGTTTGCACATCGTCATAAAAAACAATTATCGTACCACGAATTAGGGATAAGATTTTTATCTGTATACATATAGTATACTTAATCTGTGATAGAAGTATGTATAATGAATATGATGCGGTTAGTCCATGCGATGCGTCTTTGCAGTTCTCGTCATCTCATACTCACTATTTTCATGTATCGATAGATTGAGGTACGTAATACGTACATTGAGGTACGATTGAGGTATATGTATACGTACGTATACATACATAATGAGTATGATGCTGTACATTTTAGTTGAAATCATACGGTATCTCCGCAATTAGCGAAGATAGAAAGATGCGGTTTGCAAAAACCTGTCCCGCTTTTTTGTCAAACGAAAGATGCTGTAAACTAAATTTTCATAGCCCTCTTTATTTCTGAACTACAGGGTCTTTTTAAAAATTTTGCAATTTGAGACACCCCTCGTATCTCTGTTGCTTTAGCTAATTTACGTGAAATATACTTTCAGCAAAAGGGGGCTTTCCCTAACAACTTTGAAAATATTAGAATTTTTATTAAATTATTATTTCTCAAATCAATGAATTGGAACCAATGGACCCATATGATGGCCTCCCTGATTCCCGGATTTGTCCGTTCTCGATTTCTGATTTTGAAGATTTTTAAAATATGAAATACTTCGTGGCAACTACAACAATGTCGCACACCTGGAAAATGCTTTAATAATGCAAGCTTTTAGATATTTGCAAACCCATCCTCTTATAATAAATTTCGTTATAAAGAAAGAAAAATATATTCAGAGATTCAGTGGCACCAGTTCAAAATAAAATATATCAATACCAAATAAAATTTTAAAGTGTGTACGACTATTTTAGTAAATATCATTTTGATTTTTATGTTATTTATCACGGACTACTAATAAAAAAAATATATATTTTAAATATTCAAGTAAATAGTGAAAATAAATATAGAGTGATATATATTTTTGAGAAGCTCGTAGCAAGACGGATCATATGATTTATAAATATACAGGGTGTTCCATTTGAAAAAACATAACTTTAGTTCATATTTTCAAAAATATTTTTTTCCGTAGAAAAACAGACTACACCATTATATTCTACGTTAAAAATTGTACAAGAATCAGTTTTCACCTTCTCAATATCGTCCACAATAACGGAAATACGGAGGCTGTCCCAAATTGCAAAATTTTCGAACAGACCCTGTAGCTCAGAAACGAAGAGGGCTATGAAAATTTTGTTTACAGCATCTTTGGTTTTGCAAAAAAACCGCATCCTTGTATCTTTACTAATCACCGAGATAACGTATGATTTCAACAAAAATGGAACACCCTGTACAATGGTGATTTGTTCAGTTCAGCTTTCAAGTGTAAAAGCCGTAACGATAAGAAGGAGCCAGGTTTCATATATTCGATATCAATTAAACTTTTAGTTACGTAATAGAGGACGCAATTTTTAAATTCATTGTTGCCAATCATGGACATATTCGGCACCGGGCTGACTAACTGGAATTTAAATTTCCCGCTGGGGATTCGGGTGGTAGCTCTGCTGTAAAAAATGTCAAGTTGCCACATTTATTTATTTATTTCCGCACATTGTCATTCGTTTTGACACTTTAGTTTTGTATTGCGAGTTTTTGGTTTAAATGAATTGTGCTGTGATATTTTCGTCGCGCAAGAGATCCTTGCAGTCGAACATTGTTCTAAAGAACTTCTTTTAGTGCGAAGTGGTACAAGATAGCTTAATAGCCGCAAAAAACTAATCCAAACTTTATGTACCTTAAGTACTGTTAAGAAGATGAGTTTTGTCGATGTAAATAATAACCGTTTATATATTTATAATTAATTTATTTTTGTTTCCTAAAATACTTTGATTAAAAGAAAATATGTAATAGTACGCAACGCTGTGCCAGCTTAACCACGTGACTAAAAGTTTATTTCATATGAACTATAGGTAAATGAACAGTCCACTCCAACTTTTTCTTATTGAATTTGATAATTATTTTTCTGATATGTACTTGATATGTGCTGTATGTCGATACTAGTACAGTATACTTGTACCTTTTGTTAACATTTTAATGCGTTATATTTAATTAATTTATTGTAATAATTATAGTCATGTGATAAATTAGTTTTAGTGTTCTATCGTATTTTTTAGAGTAGTTAGCTCACGGAATCCGTAAAAACATAATTTTTTATTTATTCCAGTTACGACATTTACAGCTGTTTCTAGAAAGGGCTATCCAATCATTTAGGGAAGATTTCGACAGACACGAAACAACAGAAAAGACAGGAAAAGGCAAGAAAACACGAGAAAAGACAGATATTTTAATATAATTAATTAAACTCGTTGAGATTCATTCAAAAACTAATCAAACAATATGTTTTTTCTAATTTTATAAATTTAAAGATTATATTAATGATGAAATGAATAATGATAATGTTATAAAAATCAGGTTAATGTTATTAGATGTTTTTTTTTAATAGGTTTAGAATACAAAAAATAGAGCTCATGTTGCTTATTAGTTAAGAAAGTTCTTAATCATAATGCGTTTCTTATGTACGAAAATAACTACCCACAGACCTTTCATAAATTTAATATTAAAATATATAAAATGCAGCGAAACATGCCAAAAAGCATTCTGACTGAAAACTTTATATTAAAATGCAAGAGTAGGAAAACTAAATCGACTTCTAGCCGAAGTTGAACAAATTTCCTGCTAGAAGCTTTATCTGAAATTACATTTCTACTCCGTTAGATTTCCTTCAATCGGTACATGGTATACATTTTGAATCGCTATAAGAGTAAGAAATACAAATTTTGGATGATTTTTTTTTACTGGTATTAATGGATCTACAGGGTATCCCAATATTCCGTGGATATAGAACTACTACGTATTTTTAGACTTAAAATAAGTCCATTGGACACAATTACTCTATATTAAAATGCTTTGTGTGTCCGTTAGAAGGCATCAAACTTTAAAAAAATAAACACATTTTTTCAGATATTCTAAGCACAGTTATTCCGATTTGAATTGAGATTTTGGGTGTTACTCTTTTGCAAAGTTCTTTAACATTATTTGATAAGCAAGCAACGTTTGACGTAACCAAGCAGACAGAGACGTGGCAATACCGTGAGGACTGCGCTACAGCTCGAAGACTTTGTCACTGGCTTTGTATGACCAGTGGTAGATAGCAAACCAAACCAAACCAAACCAAACAACTACTAAAGCACAAAAAAACCTAGTACGCGTAATTGTAGGTGTCATCCCTGGAAACTGCCCCACGGCGGTAAACCTCGTGTGATGGAAGATTTCCAAGGACGACTACTGCAGAGAATGCGGAGAGGAAGAAGAAACCATAGAGTACATGCTGTACCATTATCCGGCATTGGAATACCGATGCTTTAAAACTTTAGGGCAAGGTTTTTTGGCGGGACTAGAGGAAGCAGCAGAAGCCAACATCAGCTACATCTTTGCAAA